GACTATATATTTACAATGACCAAAAGAAAAAGTAGTTGTTGAGGTTGCTGTGTACAACCAAACACCTTCGGCGGTTGCGTTCCTTGGTTTGGAGGCTTAGGGTCACGGGACATCCCAGTTAATTGACTTAATACCATGTTTAGTGCTTCCGTTCTACCTCCTAGTTCGTTGTGTAGTGCCTGCTGTTTTAAAAGCTTGCAAATGGCCATCAAACATACAATAATTGGTCTCTATTTGCCTGCAACACAGCTGAGATTAGAAATGTGTGGCTAATTGCCTCCATCCATGAACAACTGCCCCCTTTGCCACACCACCAGAGAACTAGATGGTACCTGGCTACCACTACTGAACATTTCGATCAGATTCTACACAATTCTGATCAAAAGCGGGAAAACGCAGAATTTCAGATTCTCATAGACTAGTGTTTCTGGGGCCATGGAAGCTGGATGAACCCCTGCAACTATTGCCCTGAGATGATCTTTAAACCTTAAACCAAAAATACCTCCTGAAGTCGTCTTAAAACCGAATAGTTTAGCTTAACTAGTAAAGAATGTCTGCCTCCAGCACTGTGCTCTTTTAAGACCTATCTATATGACATTAAATTGACCATAGCAACTCAAAAGTCTAGACAAGAAACTTATGGGGCAGTGAGTTTATGTTAATGGGGGAAGAAAAGCTCAGAAAAGGAGGGTGAGCATGACTGCATAACTCGAAGAATGTAATCAATGTCACTGATTTTACATGTAGAAATTGCTGAATTGGTGTATGTTCTGTATGTATTATTAACAAAAATAAATTATAAAAAATCAGCTATTAGAAATTTGAAAATTACAGAAATGATAAATAGGCTTGGTATATTAAGCTAAGAAAGCCCTCCAGGAAGTAGACCAGTTATCACAATTTAAAAATATGTAAATTTAAGAAAATAAAAAATGGATGTCAAGAAATGAAATCCAGAAAATTAAAATTCTTACGCTTTTGCTAACTATCCCCTTTTGCATATTGTTAAAAACTGATTGCCACAGGCACACACACCAGATAAAGCCAGGCCCTGCCACTGTTCATAAAATGCTTAACTTGAATCTGGGGCTAAATTTAATCAGATTAAGCCCCTTCCAGTTTACTGCAAGATCTTCTTTTGTATTCTTATACAACCCTTCTTTATCAAGGATGCAAAAATCACTACATCTTTTAGCCAATCGCAGGTTCTTTTCAATTTTCTATAACTTACCCAGTGCTAATCTTCTCAACCGCTTCAACAAATAAAATCAACTATAGAGGGTTTTGAAAGGCATAAGCAGTAATATGGTAGAATCGGGGTTTGAAAGGTTATTTAACAATGGAGTTTCTTTTTAAGCTCAGGTCAACACAGGTCAAGGAATTCAGGAGTAAGAAAGATGGTGCTTTGCTTACTTGCTTTTAGTATGGGCAGACAATCCAAGTGAGCATGTTGGGTAGATTAAGCCTTCTACTCAATGCCCTTAAACTTGGACAGTCCCAGTTTCCCATAGACAAAACACAAATCCTTCAACTACACAACATTTAAGTCAGAAAGTATTTTGAGCCGGGGTGATTTTAGCATTTATCTATCTACATTCCTTTTTGGGTGAAGATACTCACTATGATTTGAAAAATACAGGTAGCACCCATCATCTGTATTAAGCAAAGGAAAAACAATTCTTCAGTATGTTTAAGAGTAGGAGCTGCAACTTTTCAGTGATAAAACCTGCCAGGTTAAAGCTAATTTACTCAAATGGATGATTGTACATTACCTGAATTTCTTCAAACTCATCAAAACATAGAAGACTTTCCTATCATTTCTATACTTCCCCCATGTTCCACATTAGCAACACAAATGCTAGGAATAATCCCACGTCCAACAATTCTTGACTCAAATTTGATTCTACTCCCAGAGGGAGAAAAAGCTCCAAAAATCACGGTTACAATTTTTTCTTTAATCACAGATATAATTTACTTTTGCTCCTAAAATACAGCCACCCTTAAGAAGGTAAACAGATCAGCCTCCAGTAAGTTCTGGTCAAGACCTAGAGCCCTGGTGGCACAGTGGTTAAGAGGTCAGGCTGCTAACCAAAAGGTCAGCAGCTCAAATCCACCAGCTGATCCTTGGAAACCCTATGGGGCAGCTCTACCATCCTATAGGGTCACTATGAGTCGGAATTGACTGAACAGCAGTTGGTTTGTTTTTTATAGGTAGGACAGGTTTATCACCATTATGAAAGCCTTCATCTGTATCTGTAAGCACTTTGTGCCATGCTTCTATTTTGCCTCCAGGGTAAGAGAGAATGAAAAGTAGTTGTAGACTATCTATTCACAACCTGAATGTGAAAGACTACTAATTATCTATTCTCGTTTCATACTTACATTGTTTCCTGCTAGCCAATTTAACTGTGTTGATTGTGCTTTTAGACAATACTGCCAGGTTATATTAAAATCAACTAATTTAAATAACAGGGATCAACGCACCAACACACACCAATTTACAAGTCCAACTTAACACCAAAATAGAATGGGTGAGGTCAAGTATATGCAAAAGTCACCTTAAGAAAGACCAAGCATCAGCCACAGCTGTTATTTGCTTAGTGTCCATCTACATGCCAGGCACTGTGGCTAGGCACTTTCAGTATTACCTCCTTGAATCACCACAACAGCTGGGCAAGATTAGGTTCTATTATCCCCATCTGACAGGTAAAAAAATCATGGCCCAGAGCAACTTACCTAAAGGAACAGCCTAAGTGATAAACACATTTGATATTTATTGAACCCTACTGTGTGCCTGGGGCCATGGTGGCTCAGTGGTTAAGAGCTCAGTTTCTACCAAAAGGTCAACAGTTCAAATCCACCAGCCGCTGCTTGGCAACCCTACGTGGACAGATCTACTCTGTACTGTAGGGTCGCTATGAGCCGGAATCAACTCAACAGCAACGGGTTTGGTTTTCTTATTGTGTGCCGGGTACTGTTCTCAGCACCTTACCAACTGTTATCCTCATAACCTTATGAAGCTGGTACTTTTATTACCTCCATTTTATACCTGGGGAAACTGAAGCACAGGAAGATTAGATGACTAGCATATACTCACACAAGTACTAAGTGCAGAGTTAGGATTTGTATCCAAGCAAACGAGTCAAAGTCTACACCTGTAACTACCACCCTATACTACTGCCTTGCCTAAGAATCAAGTTTTTAATTTTTCTTCTAGGAAAATAACAAGACAAGGAATTCTACAGCACATTACCCATAGTTAAAAATGTTCAAAGAAAAAAATGTCGATTTTCATCTCAGCAGAGTTCAGATTTCATAAAACCAAGACTAGCAACTAAATGTACTACTAAAAACCCACTTGGAACAAGTAGCTACCTTTGCTGGCTAGCCCCTTTTCCAATTAGTAGCCATCTACAATTCCTACAAAAAAACCAGGAAATTCCAAAGCCAACTGAGTAGCCCTCAAATATATTGTCAAAAAACCTACTTAGATGGTGCCATGTCACAGGCTTTACAGCACAGAAATTCACTTACTGATAGAAGCTGCAGACAGTAATTCCTCCATAAGAGAGAAAGAAGGGATTGAACAGTATTTGGCTTTCTTAACTCATGTGTCTTGAATGGCATCAGCGCCCAATTTCACTTGGAATATCTAGCTTGTTTATTCTGATCCATTTCATTTACTCTATGTTTAAAATTTTCAGAAGACTCGTAAATTACTGTGTCTAGGAAAAGTCGCCCTAGAAACATCTTGGCTGCACCTTATCAAAACTTCCATTGTTCCATATGTGATTCCCAGCATCACTTTACCAGATTCAAGTTGTTATTTTGTAATGAACAAAATGAGATTCTCAAAGAACGCTTGCAGATGGGTGAACATACACAAAGCTGACACGTAAAATTTCAGTTCTATTTTACAATACAAGCCACCAGAGTAAAATGTGATGAGGAATAAAAACATTTTATCTGTGTATTCAGAATCACACACAAGTTACCTTTACAGTTCAATTTACTATACAGAAATCATTTGGGTTTTATATTTTCAGATAAATTCTGAACTGAGATTACAATATTGTGAGAAAAAAATTGTTACATTAATTCAGTACCTTTTTAGCATACCAAATTGAAATACATAGGTTCAAACTTCAGATTTATGGCAAACAGTCTTCAAATACAATACAGACATTTCCGAAAGTTACCATATCATTCACTAGTGGTATTTGCAACTCTGAGCTGTTTCACACAGAACAGCTCTCTGTGGACATGGCAAAATTGACATGTCACATAGCTCAAGGTTGTACAGTCAAGCCAAGAACTCAAAGTTGCATCATCTTTTAAAAAGGTCTGGCATTTATGGACCACAACAAAGCACAACATGTAAAGAAGGCAGGCAACAATTCCTCCCCCTCCGTATGGTTAAAAAAAAAGAAAAAAGTTGCATGGTAGTTTGGAATTTTGCATAAAACTCCACATTATACCTTCGAAGAGTCCAAGGGCAATCAGATGACAATGGATTGGGGTCCTAAATTTTATTTTATTAATAGAACCCATGAAATTCAAATGGGCATTCATCAAATTAGAAATATTAAGCACCTACTGGTTTAAAAGATTGAAATTAGTAATTCATGATCAATTTCTTTGCACCTTGAAATCAAGGTGTAAAAACCAGCTATTAAGTGCATTCCAAACTTCTCCTATGTAGCACAGGTAGAATCTTCTGTCCATTGGCACCAAAGTGAAGTCACATTTCCTCTTGGAAGACAGAAATTCCACATCTGAACATAGAGTAAGTTAGGAAGAAATGACCCCTTGTTTATTTTATTACTGTTGTGATTCTGAGATCTAAGATTACTAATAAACTAGCAGTGAACAATGCAAATTCCTGGCAACAACTGTCAGGTTAGTGATGCTACTCCCTGCCCCAATCACCGCAAAACTTTAGTATGAAAAGAATTAAAGTCATCAGTAAGCTGCATGGATGGAAAATAAGGAACTAACAGCATAGATTTAAAAAAAAAAAAAAAAGCATTGCAATCAAGAAATTGAAGAAACTAGTGTGCTTTACCCACACCTCCTCAACTCTGAAATTAAATAATATTCCATGCAAAAAGAACAGTAGGTTTCTGGATATGGGTGTAGCCCTTCTTTTAAATTTTAGCGCTCTGCAGTTTTATTTCCCTCTCCCCAGAGTTTACTGAAAGTATTTAATAGAATCTTCCATTTCAGACGAAAGATTTGGAAATCAAAGATTCACTAAGGTAATAATCTATGCATTCTATCTATACAGAAACACCTATTAATTATTACAATTGGTTTATGCAGGAGTAACATTTCTGGTGTTAATATTGTTAAACATCATGCTTACTGCACATCAACTCTCCATAACGAATCTGAACTTCACAATGATTTACCAAACATTTTACTTAAATTACTAATTAAATAATCGAAAAACATACTGAGCCAAACTAAACTTAAATGGGCTATAAAGAAAAATAACCTTCAAAACAGTCCATATACACATCTATTTCAAAACTACCTTTGCTAAGCTAGCCCCGTTCCCCAAAGTTTTAGCCTGAAAAAACAGTAAAATCTACACAAAAATTTTATTGCAATCATACAAGGGTTACATTAGGTCAAATACAACAAACACTATGATGCAATTTTACATTTATTAAACTACAGTTCAAAGCACAAATTTACACATTCTAAATACACTAAACGTATCTAATGAAGTCACATCAGTCTTCCACTGACATCTGGCGTATCTGGGTGAAAGACATTAACTTTACAAGACTTTTTAACGCGAATCCTTAGTATAAAAACTGTGTACTTGTATGTAAACGGTTTAATGGGGAACCCAATTAATGGGCTTCCATCTCCACTAAGTCATCCATTTTGTTGCATATTTTATTTTAAATACTTAGGGGTAGGGCAAACTGTTAAGTTTAAATCTGGATACATTATCTAAATCTCCCATTAGCCCCAGTGAATTATAGTTGAAAGCAGATTTTGTCTGGTCCCCAATAACTATTACTAATAATTTTTGTTTTCAAGAGAATTAACAGAATAAGTTTGTTCAAATTTTTTTTTCCCCCCACACTGGAATGTTGACCAGACAAGCTTAACCTGCAACTTTAGATCTAAAGAAGTGTTAATGCCTGCTTAAGCTTCAGTGGAAAAACTGTCTTCTTGGTTCAACTGAATGCAAGAAGGCACAAAGAAGAAGTTCTTCATCATTGTGTCTGAAGTAATTCCAGCATCTTGCATCTCATACCTACACAAAAGAAAAAATAAGCAAAATCCCGTGATTTAGCATAAATACTACCACACAAACCACATAACAAATGGACAGTGAAATGAAACTAATAACAAGTCTCCCAAAAACCCTAAAACAGTATACCTTACTCATAAGGTACACATTCACCACAGAATTAAACCTATTAGAAAATCTAAAATGACACCTCAAATATCCCATCTGCTTTAAGACAAAATTACCACCTTACCAATCACTAAATGACATCATGTAATAAATAGCTGGCCTCTGAAAATCATTAAAAGCAGATGGCTCATGGAAAGAATCTGCTCCCATGTTATCAAAGATAAGCCAATCTCCCACATTCAGCTCAGGAAGAAGACAGCTTTCCACAATCTGGTCAAGCTCATCACAGGATGGACCCCAAAGGCTGCTTGTAAACAGAGGCTCATCTTCCTTGTATTTCTGTAGGAAAAGAAAAGGTTTTTACAAAACTAATTTTTTTACTCGTGCATATACAAGAATTTGCAGGCAGATAAGAACTTGCACTATTTCAGATCCAATGTACTCATATTACGGGTTGAAGAAAGGGCAGTGCTGCTCCTGTCCTGGGCCTCCTTCTTAGCCTCAGTGGTACCATTAACTCCATCTCAAGAATCAGACTAAAGGAGCTTAGATGAACACAAAACCTCAAAGAAAGGTGGTATTTTTCCACATGCTAAAATATTTACGCAAAAAAATTGAGATAACATCTTAAACAGCTCTGTTTATAAACTGTCAAATAGATTTTTATATTATTTATCATAAAACTTGCCTTGTGAACCTCTGGAATGGTATTTAAGTCCTCAGACAGTTTACATGCAAAAGAACCATAAACACCATCATTCATATAATACATAAAGGCTGGTTCATCACTTCCGGTTTTTTCTACTAAAATAAAAAGGGAAAAGACGAATTTATAGTAAAACGTCTAATATATAGTTAGAAAACAATATAAGGCATAACAAATAGATTGTTTTTATAGAACTGCTTAATGTAGTTCTCACATTTCTCAACATATTTAAACTGACTAACAACAGATACGGACTGATATACCTCAAAACAAAACTCTTAAAGAATTGAACACACATTTCAACAAAGGAAGATAATGACCAATGAGCACCATGAAAACACTCAGCAGGTAAATGCAAATTAAAATCATAATGAGCGCCCACCACACACTTAGAATGGATAATATTAAAAGGCAAACAGAACAAAATCAATGAAGGTATGGAGAAAGTAGAACTTTCATATATAGTCAGCAGGATGGTAAAATGATAACCACTACTTTAAAAAAGGTTTGGAAATTTGCTATAACATTAGAGAAATAGCTACTCTATGACCCAGCAATTCTTTTCATTATTTACCTAAGAGAAATCAAAACACTTGTACAAGAATGTTCGTAACAGCTTTACTCATAATAGTCAAAACCTGGAAACAACCCAGATGTCCATCAACAAAAGAGAATGGATAAATTCACACAACGGAATACTACTTAGCAATAAACATGAAACATGGCTCAATTTCAGACATGCTGAGGCACCTTACACAAGAGTATACACTATATAATTCCATTTTTATTAAGTTCATGAACAGCCTAAATAATCTATAGTGGGAAAAAATCAGAATAGTGGCTGTCAGGGGTGGGGGGAAAGGGGCAAACTGACTGAGAAAGAAATTCCTAAGATTATGATCTATATATCTTGATATTCAGAATGTGGGTGCATGCCTTCATCAACTCATTAAATTATATACTCAAGAGACACACTACATACATTTCACTGTATGTAGGTTTTACCCTAAAAACAAAGCAAAACAAAAAATACTAAATTAAACAGATACTGAATCACAGTTAAATGGTTTGCTTTTTACAGCGGTATGGGTTACGAATTCTGAAAATACTTTCTGTGTATTTTGGACGTAAGCAACTGTATAAATATAGTGAAGATAATGGAAACCAGTTTTCTCATTCTTGGGGAAGTTACAAATATGTAAAAGGAAAAAACAGAAATATCAGTATAAATTCATGGTTTTTAATATATAAACCAAAACAGTTGTGACTGAGTCAATTCTGACTTACGGTGACCTTATGTGAGTCAGAGTAGAACTGTGAAGGCTTTCAGTGGCTGATTACTGGAAAGCAGATCACCAGGCCTTTCTTTTGAGGCGCCTCTGAGTGAACATGAACCTCCAACCTTTCCATTAGCAGCCAAGTGTGTTAACAATTTGCACCACCCAGGGTGTCCTTTTTGTTTGTATGTATGTATGTATGCATGTATATATACATACACGTATTTCCTAGATCTCTTCAGTGAGAAAGCCTAGAAGCAATGACTCTCCAGTAGCAGTGAGCACGTCCAATACTCATTTCTTGGACTTTAAAATACCACTCTCCACTAAAATGAACCAGGGCTCCTTGCAGAAACAGTTGATTCCAGAAATGAGGCAAGAAAAGTGTAAGATGAGCATGGAACACTTTGATGTACCAGTAGGTAGTGCGTGTCAAAAGGACCCAGCTAAAGGGCCTCCCACTGGCCAAATGACAGTATGAGCATTAAAATAAATATGAAAGTAATAGATTATGCTCTACTGAATAAGTATCTATGAGTCTAATACAAACAAATACATAGGGGGAAGGGAAAGCTATTTACAGGAAAAGGCCAACCAATATATGACTGAATAATGGAGTTAGAAATTCATTGATAGGCATTAAAACGAATGTTTCTGATGAGAAACTGTTTACAAAGTCTTCAAGTATCTCCTCACTTCATCACGGAGAAATCTGGCTGACACTACCTCAATCAAGTGATCAAAACTTAAAACTAGCATCACCAATATGGGAACAGGCTGCTATCATGTGCCTCCTAATACAATGCACTGAGAGAGAATGTCACCCCAGTGGACTTCCTGCCAAAAAAGCAGAACCCGAATCTAATCATAACGAACCATTAGACAAACACAAAGAGAAATTTTATAAAACTTCTATTTTTCAAAAATGTCAAATAAAAAAAATACAAAGCGAAGTTAAGAAATTTTTTCCAGATTAAAGAAGACATGACATTTAAATACAACGTACAGACCTGGACTGGACCATAAATAACAAAAAATGAAAAGCTACAGAAGACAACATTGGAAAAATGGACAATTTTCCAATGGACTGTGGATTAGATAACAGTACTGTATCGATATTAAATTATCTTTTGTAACTATAATAATTATATTCTTGTTCTAGGAAAATATAACTAAAGAGGTACAGTGTCTCCAACCTGCCCTAAAATGATTCAGAAAAAATTATGTGCATGTGTATATATAAAGACTGACAAAGCAAATAGGGCAAAAGGTATATGGAAGTTCCCTATATCACTGAAAATTCTTCAAGTTTAAGAAAGTACAAAACTCAAAAGAAAAAAAAAACTCTCTTATCTTTGCTCATATAAAGATTTGAAAAACTACAGGAAAAAAACAGTCTACTTATCTACTTAGTGAAGGACAGTGTAGCTGTCCCTCAATATCCACAGGGGACTGGTTCCAGGACCACCCTCCTCCCATACCAAAATCCACAGATGCTCAAGTCCCTTACATAAAAGGGCATAGTATTCGCATAAATACACATCCTCCTGTGTACTTTAAATCATCTCTAAATTACTTATAATACCTAATACAAAGTAAATGCTATATAAATAGTTGTTATACTGTATTGTTCAGGGAATAATGACAAGAAAAAAAGTCTGGTTTATTTTTCTTGAGTATTTTCAATCCATGGCTGGCTGAATCCACGGATGTGGAACCAGCAGATACGGAGGGCTGACTGTACTTCCTACATATTTCTTAAAGAGAAACTGGTCCACAAGATACACTGTCAAGTGCTTTTTGTTAGTTTGACCAGAGATGGATTAAAAGGGTGACCAGAGTTGGGCGGCCTTCTTCGTGGGCCCTTGTTACATAAGAAAGTATGAGGTAAATTCTGTGACCCGTCTGCACAAAAGGAACCTAACAGAGAAAGCACAGTAGAGCAGTGGTTCTTAACAAGAGTGGAGAAATCACCTTGGGAAGTTTATGTAAAATATGCATATTTACACAACAGTTCCAAGAGAGATGGATTTGGGAAATTTTATGGAGTAGAACCATGGTCAGGACATTTTGAAAAGCTCTCTAGATGCCCACAGCTGGCTGACAAATACCCACAACATTATGACCCATGAAATGTCCTACAGTATATTTTACATCTTAGTTTCTGATAAATTCATCTCCAGAATAACTGGAATTAGCTACTAACAGAAACAAAGATAAAACTTTGTAACTTACCTCCAGAGGAAAATTTATCGTTTTCAACAACTTTCTTTGCAATGATGTTAACAGCAAGTGTAAATGCAGAAGACACGTAGTAGCTTCCAGGTTCTGAGATTATCTTAATGCCAGATCCTTCAGGGAAGTAGACATCCAACAAAGGGCTGATAACATGATTAACCTACGGATTTTAAATCCCAGATTATGGTTTCAATATCGGATTAGATAATTTTCAATATTAAGAGACTTGACAGCTATTAAATAAGTTCTCTAGAATTCAGTAGTTACAATTGCAGACCACAAAGTTTAGCTATTCAGAAGTCATCTTCAAGCAATTAAACAGGCTTTCAAGTCAAAGCTTATTTTGTAACTATCAGAATAGCATTAATTTTTTAAAAAATATATATAACTTCAACGGCAGGTAACTATTGGTGATTAGTTTTTCTATACTTGATTGTTAGCAACCTAGGAGACAATTTTCAAGAAAATAGTAGTTTCTAGATATTACAGAACAAGGGAAACAGGGTAGAGGAGCAGGAAGGCGAGGAGTGAGATCCATCTAGATTAAAGAGCATAAATTATCCTAGTTATGAATTCATTTGTACCATCAGTAAGAGAACAGAAACAGAAAATCTTGTGATAACCTTATGTTACAGAACTCAAACAATTTTATTAAACTTTTCAAAGTTAGGTCTTTTCATTGCCTGTTACTTTTTTAGAATGGCATTTTAAACAGATTATTACAAGTTTTGGCTCCTGCATGACATGTCTATTCTCATTGTGAAAACCCTAGTCTTCACATCTATCAGTTAAGCAGCAGAGGTAGATTATTCTGTTATGTCCACCCATCAAACAAAGTTTACCTCTTCCAATTGGAATTCAGTTCCTGTGAAGCCTCCACCAATGTCTAACATGTTCATCTTGAAGCCAAATTCTCCCTAGAGATGAAAAAAATACTTTAAATGCGTTGCCAAATTGTAATGGATATAGGGACCTTTTGAAATACCTTTCTACCCACCAGGGTGTAAATAATATCTTAATTTGTTCTTGTCCTTTAGAATAAAGTCTTCGGTTTTTACAATACAATGTTATTTATTTTCTGTGGTTGTTTCTGAATCGAGTTATAATCGATTTTAAACATAATACCCTGGCTTAACATAACAAAATAATTTAAGAAAAGAACTTACAGCCATGTCAAACACACATCGGGCATCAGATAGAGCATGTACGTATACTTGAGATTCTTTGCAAGCACTCGAAACATGAAATCTGAAAGGAACAGGGCAATAAATTTAAAGCAGCAGTAAGCTTTAGAGGCCCTTCTTATAATTCTTGTTAATTATTGTTCACCTTCTTGACACCCTAAGTATTCACATTAACTTTACCCAAGTATTAGGAGCACTGGCCTCTAGTTATCCACATTACAATACCAGCTTTTTAGAAAAGCCAATGTTTAGATAAAATGGAGTCATTAGCCATGTTTCATGGCTATAAGATAGGGGCATGCTTTCATTTATTTATAGTAAAGTAACAAGCAACCTTAGTAAAATTGGGCCACAAAATCTTTTAATTTGAACATTCAACTTTATCTGACAAAATACAAAAATATGTCTATTGTGAACTGAATACAAATGAACATTAATTCAGTCTAGTAAGTGATATTCTTACTCAAAACACATTTACTTATCGAATATTCAAAACAGAATACTTATAGGTTATCTGAAATATAGTTCTGTATCCTGATTGCAGCAGTGGTTATACAAATCTTTACATGTGTTAAAATTCATAGAACTGTACACCCGAAAAGTCATCATTGTAACGAAATGTGATGAAATAAGAACAAAACTCTCATATATGCTAATACTGTCACCTAAGGTAGAAATAAAAATTTTATCTTTGGGGTAAAAATAAAAATTTTACCTCAGTTGCAAGACTAGCAATGGACTGACAACTCACAAAATTTGAGGTTTCGTCCTACTCTGTGCTTATTAATTAGTTCTGGTGATGATCAAAATCATTAAACCTCTCTAGGCCCAGTTTCCTAACATATAAAACTGAGAGGGTAATACAAAGTCTACTGATTTACTGAAGCACCTCTGCGGGATTAATAAGGGGAAGAGAAAAAATTCCTCCAACAAGAAAAGGAAAAAAAAGGAAATGACACCTACAAACGACAAGCTGAATGTCATTTTAGTATTCATCAAAATTCTAGCAACTCTGCCAATTATAAGGAGATGACTTAAATTACTCTGCACTAACCGAGATGAAATAATATTTACTGTTTTGTCTGTTTGGGGAAGGACATACAGGTGCAAAACAGTATGAAGAACAACCCATAGCCGTCCAGTCCACTGCTCCTCATAGCGACCCTACTGGACAGAGCAGAACTGCCCCATAGGGTTTACAAGGAGTGGCTGGTAGATTCGAACTGCCTGTCTTTTGCTTAGCAGTCAAGCTCTCAATCACTGCACCACCAGGGCTCCAGATTACATACAAATGAAGTCTTAAATCAATAACCTGAAAATTCTCTCTATAAAATCAAGTTTAAAATGAATACTCACTTAACCCCAATTATTTGGACATCAAGTTCCTTAGCACATTCCAAGAGATGCCTACAGTTCTTCAGTGTAGTGCCAAACTTCATGTTACCCTCTTCACCTCCAATATTATCTTCTGTTGCAATATGTAGTAAGACCCTAAGAGAAGGGGAAGATGATTGGGGCAGAGTTGGTTTACATCATCATCAGCACATGTGAAGCCTGAAGATTGTAGAAGTGTGTTGATTACGTTGCTCCCAATCCAGCGACGGGCGAATCAAGTGAACCTAACGAAAAACAATCCTGTATAGAGAAAAAACTAGCAATTAGGGCCTAAAACATGAAGCTTACAAGGATGGGAATTTGGAAAATGCAGCAAGTTAAGACTCTGTTGTAGCAGCAAGAGTCGGTTGGGCTCTGTAATGAAAGATGACATTACTTTCAAATGAAGTCCATCAGTCAGTAAATCCACCTAGAAAGACTAAATTGAATAGCAATGCCACCATTGTCTCTCAATAAAAACATCAGGGCTTTAAGTATCTTCAAATTTTCCAAATTGTTCTAGCTAGCTATCTCTCTGCCACTTATTCTGAACATTCCTATTAATCTCTTATATCTAGCAGGTTTCTAACTGGAAACAAAACAAAGCTAGGAAGCTTTGAGTTATTATAAGGGCCTAAACAGCAGCCTTCTAGACTACAGATTCAAATCCATTTGGTACCTCCTTCCAAAACATGACAACTAAGACTAAATGGAGGAGTCCTTTAAATAATTACAAACCACTAAAAACTGCAAATACACAAATGCTGACTTTCTTAAATGAAAATTTAAAAGATCTGTTTCCCCAAATTTTTCTACCTAAAAGTAGAACCGGCTGGATAAAGAACATACCATTCAGTTTACAGGCCAGCACACAGTTGCTGTCATTAGGCGCCATTCACTGAGTCAGTTTTTGACACATAGCAACCCCATGTGACAGAGTAGAACCGCCCCATAGGATTTTCTAGGCTGTAAGCCCCGGTGGGGCAGTGGTTAAGCATTAGCTGCTAAGCAAAAGGTTGGCAGTTCGAATCTACCAGCTGCTCCTTGGAAACCCTATGGGGCGGTTCTACTCTGTTCTATAGGGTTGCTATGAGTTGGAATCGACCCGACAGCAATGGGTTTGGTTTTTTTTTTTGGTTTTAATCTTTACGGGAGCAGATTACCAAGCCTTTCTCCCATGGAGCCACTGGGTGGGTTTGAACCACCAACCTTCCAGTAAGCAGCTGAGAGTACTTAATCATTGCCCAAAAACTCAGATCTTGTCTTCAATAGAGCATAAAACAGGAAGACTTTTCGCTCCCTACAATTTTTCCAACAAAGGCCTTTATTCCAACAGATGTTTTCCAGGTAATCAAACCTGTCGGGATACTTTTCTATGAACACTAGCAAAGTCAATAATAAAATTATAGCAATACTAGAAAAATACGGATGATACACATTTTCAGGAACATATAACACACAATAACTCATCAGAAGTAATGAAACAATTTTAGTACATTCAAAGTCCTCTTGAGGTATTGGTTCATGACATCACTGATTTTACCTTAAATTTTTTTTGCTTATAAAAACAAAACCTTAAAAATCAACACCACCACACACGCGCACCAAAAGTATCTTGGGATGCAGGTTGGTGCAAGGAAAAATTTCTTCATTTTCGTATGTGTGAAAAAAAAAAGTTTCACTCATTTTCCCTAAGAAAAATATGCGGACCTTAAATAAAGAAACCCCTCCAATCTTATACGCTAGGCTCCTAAGATACTGTCACTGAGGACCATTTAAGAACTATAGCCAAAGATGTATTAAGCCCTCAGCTAGCCAAATAAATAAGCAAAGCTGACCTGTTCCTAATATGCCAAGTAACTAAGAGGGTTAATGTAATTATGAAAATATAGCTGTGGCCCTAATTTGGTATCACACCGACCAAATTTTCTTCAACTGAAGATTACAAGATTGTATCTGAAACTATCCTTATCTCATCCCAAAGCAGAAGACCAATAAGAGACTATAAAAACCAAAACACCAAACCTGCTGCCGTCGAGTTGACTCTGACTCATACCATTTTCCATATAGGTGCTTATTTAAATAAGATAGCTATAATAATTATAATACACGCCACTGCCCTACCATAAGTGCCCCTTCCTCCCAGGCTGAAGATAATCCCAACCTCTAAGTAGTAAGAGAACATTCTTACGTGCTTGTTTTTACACTTACTTGGCATTTGGATGATTACGTGCAATTTTCTTCAATTCAACATCATTGTCACATGTCATGATATTCACGCCAACTTTTGCTGCATACTTTATCTGAGACACTTGTTTGCATGGACTTATATAAATAATGTTTTCTGGAGATACGCCCAATTCTTGCACTAAAACTATTTCATTCTGTGAAAATAGATTTTTAAAGGTATCATCTATAAGGGAAAATTTTCACTATTTTTCATCAAATGTAGTATATAATTTTTGGTTCAATTATGATTACTTAATGTCACAATTCATATTCTTATAATGCTTACTACTCTGTAGTAAGAACCTCATCAGACCTTTAAAAAGACAGAATTACCAACAGAGAAATTTCATTGTTTAGAATATTAATTACAGTGATAGAAGTAACCTGGTCTAGTCAGCGCTAATGTAAGAATGAGCAACAACTAAAGCTGCTCATTAAAGATTTTCAAAGTTTCATCTCACTAGAACTTCTCTTTCATTAGTACACTTGAAAAGTTAATAAATTTCCAGTATGAGACAGCAAATTTAAAAAATAGTTTTTAAAAACCCCACCCAGAAGTCAAACTTTTTTATAATTATATTCCTACTATTGTGGGTAACTGATAAAGTTAAGTTAAAATGTTGCAGTTTAGTGGCAAAATAAGTAATGAAAAATACTTACTTTACTGGAACAAGCAAACCCAGTTCCAAGCGCTGCCAAAATCTCAAGTACAGCTGGAGTGGAGTTGCACTTTACCGTGTAGAATGGCTTTATCGGAGCCACTACATTCTGCCACTGACTGTGCTTCTTCACAATCTTTCCAAGATCTCCCACAAAAAATGCATTTTTTCCTGTCTGTTATGGTCACGAAAAAAAAAGAGAAACATGATCAAAGAATCACTGAAAATAAGAGTATCCCATAACTGAAGAAAGAACCCCCTTTTCCTCTATAAATGAGCCTGGATGTACAGTTAGATACATGACTAAAGTTTGCTGGAGTAATTAAGCTAGATCTACTAAACACCAACAAGAATTTAAACATGTTTGTTCTTTTTAAACTTGACTTTTTCCTGTGCTCTATATATTCTCAAAGTATTTTCTCCTTTAATTTAAAAAAAAAATCAATTACTAAGACTTTTAATTTCGGAATCAATTACCTCAATTTTAACTTTTGGTAATAGAGGGAAGGAGAACTTCTATTTCCTTCCATCCTCCCTGCCGCTGTTTAAAATCTATACGTATTCTGGCAGTTATATAGGATATAACTTTCTAATGCAGCGAGTAGAATTAGGAATGCTAAACAAAACAAGCTATATAGCTCTATTACACATTGCACCTAAAGACAAGATGGTAAAACAAGAAAATAACTTCACTAGGAATCCATTTTTAAGGAAACAAAGTTGGTAATCTGTGTGCAGAGATGGCAAAATTAGAATAATAAAATACAGAGTATACCAAATATCAGACACATCTGAATAAGAACAGTCTTCCCTCAAAAGAAAAGAACTTGACTCTAAGTAAGGGTTTGGGGAGAGGTGGGTAATAATTTTAAAGTTGTGGCTATTCTAGGACCAGAGAAATGACTGTGCCAGTCAGAGCATAAATTACTCAATGTTATATGGCAGACAGAGTAATCTTATTTAGCAAGTATTAATACTCAAAATATTGTCTGAAAAGCAATGAAGGTTATTTGAAAATGATACATTATTGGAACATAAGCATAGGAGAGATATAATTAGAAATTATGGGTCATGTGTGGCAGATTCAGGAATTATCCATGTTTATGAAATATACCATCTCTAGTGTTCTGGAGACAAAAATTTTTTTTTACTTTAATGGGGAAAAAAATTAAGGAAATTACAGGTACCAGAGCAAAAGAAAAGGGATAAAAAAGGTAGTGTTTCTTATCTTAGGCAAGTATAAGTCTGGAAAATTCTCAACAGGCAATGGAAAATCAATAAATTTGGGAAGTTTTGTATTTAATGAATATTCAAGAAGATGAAGTAGGCTTAGAAAAAACAACGGAAAAAGGAGAAAGGAGATAAGTTATGAGGTTACTATGATGGTATGTGTTCAAGTAGACTGGGATAATGGTGATGGAAACTGATGAAGGGATGGATACAATGATGTTATGCAGCAAAGATGGAGACTCTTCCAGGCTAAGGGTGGACAAGCAAAAGGCAAACAAAAAAACCCCAGAAGGAATCATCCTTGAGCCATACAGTCAGATGAGACTGCCACCAGGAAAGAGAACAGAGTTGAGGATTCACCCTCACTAAATGTTACTAAGTGTTGAGATATTTAGGATGTGGGACAAGAAAGAGGATGAAAGGGTGTATTTCAAAGATTCTATCTGACCGGAGGAGAATCAGAATTTTTAAGTGACTAAGAGAAAGGTCACCATACTTTGACCAGGAGGTTTCCAGTGACACGACAGAAATTAACTGTAGAGTCGCTTGGCAGGAGTAGGTTTAACAATGTGACAAGAGAATGTCACTATTTTTTCTAGAAGTTTGATGGCAGAGGGAGAGGGATTTTGCTGGGGTAAGAAAGACGATTACATTTGCAACCTGAAGGTTAAGAGTTTTTTTTTTAATTTTCTTTTTTATTATACTTTAGGTTAAAGTTTACAGAACAAATAGTTTCTCATTTAACAGTACACATATTGTTTTATGACACTGGTTAACAACCCCATGACATGTCAACACTCTCCCTTCTCGACCTTTTTTTTTTTTTTTTGATGAAACTATACATAGCCAAAGATAAACCATTTCAAAAATTTCTACATGAACCATTCAGTGACATCGGTTATGTTTTTCCAGTTGTGCTGCAAGAGTTTTTTTTGTATCCCATTACTGAACATGAGTAACCTGAAAATAATTATTCAACAAATTTGGGGAATATGAGAAATTAGTTCCAATAAAGAAATAGATTCCATTAGCAAGCCAATAAGCAAGCTTAAAATGAAAATGATCCTATAGAAATTGATTCCCGGGGCAGTTTTAATATACAATTCTGTATATAATTGTAAGTTAACATACAAAAGGAAGATTTTTTGAAAGTTAAAATCCATTGAAGAATACAGTTGAGGAAAATGAGTAAGAAGTCATATACCGATTAGGAGGGTAGCTGACAAAGATCAAGAAAACAAATAGAATATAAAAGAGCTAGGTGCTAACAGATAATGGTAGAAAAGAAGCTGTAAGGAAGCTTTTTTTTTTTTTTTTTTTTTAAACGTGGACTAGAAAGAAAAGCTCACCATCACTGAGGGGACTAGAGGGAGGGGAAAGTCAGAGAAGAAAACCTGGAGAAGTTAACATCTTAACCAACTACCTGTATCAGATTAACATCTTGGAAATTAACACAGCATTAATGTCTGAGAATTGGCAAGATGATCAACCAACACTATTTGAGAAATGTGGGATAGCACACTTACCAGGGTATGTTCATTAACATAGTTATCAATAACATTTCCAAGGTTTGTTCCTTCATCCAACAGGCCAACGGAGTAGTTTGCATCGTCGATAAATCCTTTCATCTCAGCCGTATCCCACAAAGCCGAAAGTCATAAACCAAGAAAAACAAGAGACGGGCCACCAAGCCTTATGTCTGGGTCCTTAGAATATGCAACAAACTGTCAAAATAGAAGTTTTATCAAAGTCCATATTATTTCACTAGCTAAACTTAATGTATGAGTTGTCCATGAAAAAGTATGCTAGGTGCCTAAATTTACTGAGGGATCAGTGTAATCACACTTTCAGAAACACTAAGTTAATATCCTTTAAAGCTCATTTTAAAAAATGATTAAATATGTATTTTATACATTTAAAAAGCAAGTCAATATAATGTATTTTTTTTAAAAGATAACCACATGTGTACTTCATACCCTGTATGGTCACCTTATTTATACAGAGTTGCAAATCCAGTCTGTATTATTCATATTTTGTTTTATGCTTTTTTCATAACACATACACTTTTATTTATTTTAAGTAGAGAAAGCTAGTGAAATCATTATCCGCAGACAAGCAACAAAAATACTAGTCTGAACTTCAATACATTGCCAGTCCTATCACTAGCATTGGAAGGTAAATGCAGAAAAATGTCTTTTAAATACAACTCTTTTGTTTTGTCTCCAACACAGAGTAGGTGACAGCTCACCAAGTAATAGATGTGGGAGAGGGTGGGAGAGGCTGCTTTACTGGACAATCTACAGCTTTGATAAAGACTGCCTAGGTCTCACATCAAGAGAAAGCAGTGCTAGCTACATTAAGTTAGCAGTGTAGGTCCTTTTATGAGATGGCTTGATTTGGTCAATCAGAAGACCTGGTCCTGGGTATGTCATATAGTATACCTGTGCAATCCTAGAAGTCAATTTCTCTAAACCTCACTGAACTACTTCCTCAGAAGACTGTTGTAAAAAAAAAATTATGTATCACCTAAGTGAAAACATATGTTCACATAAACAGCCACATAATGTCATCAGAACAGTTAAGATTCAGCTTCCAATTGCCAGACACACAAAAATGCCATTATAATTAGGGAAAAAAAACCAAACCCACTGCCGTCAAGTCGATTCCAACTCATAGCAACCCTGCAGGACAGAGTAGAACTGCCCCATAGGGTTTCCAAGGCTGTAATCTTTACAGAAGCAAACTACCCCATCTTTCTCCTGTGGAGCCACACAGCTGAGTGCTTTAACCACTATGCCACCAAGGCTCCAGGTATAAGTTAGGTACCTGTATATCCTGAAGCAGTTACTAAGAATTCTGATTTTTAAAAAGGGCATCAGGCTAAGTAACAAGATCCAATCCATCAATTAATCTATTAATATAATAAATCCCCCCTCCCTCAAACCACCCATTCTCCTCTCCAGATCACATGAACATAGAGATTTATCTTCTTTGCTTAATTTCACGGGTCCATTGGTTACTTTAGGGAATGATTTTTTTAAACAGGCTACTACGAAACCAACGTTCAGCCATTAGTAGTATTAACAGATAATTCATGCATAAAACATCACAAAATGAATTATTAGAATATCCTTTTCTTATACTAACACTGTCAGGAAGGTGTCCTATACTGCTAAAATGAAGAAATTATGGCATTTCTTCATCTAATGTCTTACTCATCTTCCCAAGTATACTTACTATCTGGTACCAATTTTAAGAACAAAAGCTCTGGCTGCCACATTAATAACGGGCACAAACAGCTGTCTTGACAAGCTATTTTAAAACTCGCACAGCCTTTTCTGTGTCCCTGGCACCTCCTTTCTCCCTGAATGTTCCATGTTGGGTTCACCTTGGATGATGACCCTCACCCTAAAAGTAAACTATCAGTGGTCCTCAAAGTGTCAACTTTTTGGTTGCGCCAAAACTAACTTGTCAATAAGCTGTAGCATTAGTCAGACTTCATGAAACACAAACAATACTTAACTTCTAAAACGCTTCCCCAAGAAGCCAACTACATTCAACTCAGCTTATCAAAACTCTTTCATGTTATGGTGGAAACTGAAGAGGAGGTGATTTAGGGGTACCTACACAAGACCTAATGCTTATGCAGTAAAGTCAAATCACACCTTGAACATTTTCTACATGTTGTTATACCTGAACTGACATAATATGGCTTGAGGATACATGTTTCTTTTAAACAATGTAACTTCAGCTAGAACATCAATTTTAGGCGATATTCAACTGGGCACTAAGAGCAGTAGAAAAAAGCAAATGAGACTCATTCAAAAACAAATGCAAAGGTAAATAAGGTAAGAACTTCCTGTTAAGTCGGATATCCCAAAACAGCTTTCATTTATTCTATTAACAAGATGAAAAAAAATTTAATCAAGATCTTTAACCTAGCATTTCAGTTCAGGAGTCTCCTAGGTATACTCTATTACATATGCAGTGTTTACTTGGGAGCCCTGAGTTATCTAATATGGAACACCCCAGGCAACTGCTGCCACAATGTCTACCTTTAAAAAGTCAGGACAAGATAAACCTCAATTTCCTATCACTTTATAAAGAAAAGGTAACTTTCCTCAACCATTCAGGATCTTCAGTACTTACAAAAACATCAGGTCCATTTGATCCACAATCTTACCTGCTGAATGCTCACATTCTTCAGAGCTTTTTCTAGAGTACTGTGGTCATAGGGATAAAGATATTTTCCAACTATTTTCAAACAATATTATCTAGTAGGTTTAATTTTCGTTGCTTGCGAAACTAGCTCCAATCTAATAGCAAACATTTTTCTAACAGTGTGTGACAGACACTGCTCTAAGTACTTTATCTATACAATATTAATTCTCTTAACCATTAAAACCTCAATCCTCATTTGGCAGATGAAGACAGAGGGCACAGGATAATTAAATAACTTGGTCACACAGCAAGTAAATGATCTGAACCTAAGCAGTCTAGCTCTAGAGATGCTGATCAAATGCTTAATTAAAGCAAAATGAAAACCTCCCTCCCTCCCCAGCACCCTATCCCTAAAAAACACAGGGTTCCTTTTTCAGAAATCTAACACAGGTCTCCAAATTTCTCTTTAAGAGCTTTATGTAGACCCCAAATTTGAAATTTTTTTCATCAACCTTATTGAAAGTTTACATGCAATAACATGCACCCATTTAGACAAATGTATACACTTGTGTATCTTCGACTACAATTCCAGTAATATAAAAAAAAACCAGTTGCTGTCCAGTCAGTTCTGACTCATGGAGACCTCATGTGTGTCAGAGTAGAACTGTGCTCCATAGGGTTTTCAATGGTTGACTTTTCTGAATTTGATCAGCCAGGCCTTTCTTCCAAGGCCCCTCTGGGTGGACTCAAACCGCCAATCTTTCTGTTTGCAGCAGGGCATATTAACCATTTGCACCACCCAGGGACTGACTCCACCACTGCCATAAAGATATTGACATAAAACTTTTCAATCTCCCCAGTTCTTCATGTCCCTCTTTTGCAGTAAATCCCACCCCACTCCAGGAAACCAGTGACTCACTTTCCATCACTATAGATTAAAAGTCTAAACATCAAATGCAGACCAAACTAAAACAGCTAATGAATAACAGTACTACCAATATGAATTAAAACACGGGAAAGCATGCTCTGCACTAAAGGGATGATACAATGCTTGTGAAGAGGCTATTTATCTTTGAAATGGAACTCTGACTTGACAAGTAACTTCAGCGTTGTTAAGCAATCACTGACTGACAAAAAGGATCTAACACATCTGAAACCATTAAAACACGTGTAGTACAAGTAATATTTAATTACATTGAGCACTACAATAGTTTATCAAAACCAATACTAATAAAGCCTGTGTACAGAGGGTCAGTGAAAAAGGGAAGACCCTTGACAAGATGAATTGACACAATGGCTACAACAATGGGCTCAAACATAACAACGATTTTGAGGATGGCACAGGACTGAGCAGTGTTTTGTTCTGTTGTACACAGGGTCGCTGAGTCAGAACCGACTCGACGGCACCTAACAACAACATAAAAGTTATCTTACCACCAACTTTACTAAGCCTTCAAAAAATTCTAAATATACTCTTGGAAAGTGAGCTTTGATCTGTTTATATTTTTAGATGCTCACTAAAGGCTCTGAGATTGCCATTAATTCCTAGCCCATAGTGCTCAGGAACACATGGACAAAGGTAGTGAGAGGTAAGAACTCCTTGGAAATGTTTTGAAAATGAACACCCAACTTTCACATCCTTAAAAGGAGCTCATAACCTCGGTATACAAGCGACCCTGTGTAAATGCAAAGCTCAACTATCAGTTACTGTTAAAAGCTAAAAACCATGCCAAGAAACACCAATCATCAAAAGAATCTGCAAAACACAAGTATCTTTAGGAGACAGATTTTCTAACGTATTTTTAGCCAAGAAACTCCTGGAATAAAATGTCACTAGGCAATCCAATATTTCCAACAATTGAAAAGGGACAGTAATTTGGTGAGTGAAGGTGAGCTGATGTTGAGTCCTTCCTACCTCCAATATTGTACCCCAATCTCACTGAGGGAGTCCTAAAAAGCAGTTCAAAATCATACCTCAAAGAGGTTTTCATTACAATTTTCTTAACATGTTATTAGCAAAGATACTTTACAGCTCCACTGTCACAAAAAGGTTTATGTTCTGAAATTTTGCCTTACTTAAACCTTAATTACATAGTTAATATTTCACTAATATGTTAAAAGGCATTAAAGTTACACAGTGATATGTTAATGTTGAGCCAAGAATCTATGACACACAGCATGTTCCTAGGAAGCCAGCATGAAGTGTGGGTGTGTTGGGCATGGAGTGAGCAGAATTTATGTTTATACTGTATACCACACAAGCACAGAGCACATCCACCAAGTTAATCCAGCTTAATTGTAAACATCGTGGGGAGTCTTTCCAGGAACCTCTCTCCACCAAGAATGCAGACTCAAATCCAGGAGATACTAAACCGCCCCAGTGCTCCAATCCCAAACAGGCAACATTTTTATGCCTTATAAATCAGAAATGGGACTGATTTACTGGCTCCAACACATTATGGGCCACTATACGCTATAGTCTCGTGCTGCTGGACACTGAATTATTTATAGTAAGCTTTAGAAAATCTGTTGTTGGTTGCTGTTAAGTCATTCCGACCCCACGTATGCAGAGAACTGCACTCCATAGGATTTTCAAGGCTGCAACCTTTCAGAAGCAGATCGCCAGGCATTACTTGCAAGGTGCTTCTGGGTAGGTTTGACCCAACAACTTTCTGGTTAATAATCCAGCACTTAACCATTTGTGTTCCCCTATGTAAATCTTAGATTCTTTTCCTCAAGATGCTTTGGAACTTAAGGTCAAATTTATTTTTAATAAAAGTTCTGATGTTTATCATCAACAGACACTAGGAAGTGTTATCTACTCACAAGAACCTTTATGCTATTTTCACACCAAATATTTTATCAATAAATGGTAAGAAAGCTCAGCTTATTTTATAATATAGATGCTATAATTACAGTAACTATAATTCTTCTCAGACTTCACAGCTAGGAAAAAAAATATATATAACATTCCTTATCTACACCTTCATATTGGTGTTGTTGGTTTTTTGTTTTTTTTAATAATACATTTCTCATGAGGAACTGCCAAAGAAACAAAGGGCTCCAAAGAGTACTGCTCTCTGGAGCCTTCCATGAGGCTCATGAGTCCTCCCATTCCGAGAGGGCAGCTCCAAGAACAGTGTCTGCAGCAGCTGAGCACTTGCCTTGTTACACACCTGCTACAAAGGCTTCTACAGTTGATTGTACTTCAGAAGAAACTGATACATCTCTCAAATAATCACAAGATAATTCTGGCAGCAACGCCCACTTGACACCAAGCTGGATGAATATGGGTCTTGGATTTCTGAAGTGAAGACCTCCCTGGAAGTAGAACAGGGAGAGCTGAAAGGTTGAGAGTACTGTTTCAGAGACACCTAAGCAGGAAACCCAACCTTAATACATTAAATCACTTTCATTAAAAATGAGAACTTAAAATTTAACTACTGTAGTTACTCTAAAGATGGTCTAATAAGGGCATTTCTACCTTAATCACTTGGCTGATTTTCTTTTTACTCAGGCATTTGATGACTTAGCACTCAGCTCACAGCTTTTTAAAAACTACACTCAATGCCGTTGAAGTCACCTCTACATTCTACTTCCAACAGAAAAATCTTACTTACCACAAAGAAAACCTTTAGAAATAATTGGCCAGAAGCACATTAGAAGGGGCTTCTTTCTAAAAAATTATTTTGGCACTATGTGAGGCCTGGAGCAGGTTTGAATCACACACAAAAAAAAGTAGTTCCAAGAAGCTACATAATGAACTGGTGGATAGAAAATACCAATAAATTGGGTGGTAATCATACAATCATATAAACTTTTGCCCTAAACCCACTGCTGTTGAGTTGATTCCAACTCACAGAGACCCTATAGGACAGAGTAGAACTGCTCCATAAGGTTTCCAAGGCTGTAAATCTTCACAGAAGCAGACTGCCACACCTCTCTCCCCCAGAGTGGGTGGTGGGTTCGAACTGCTAACCTGTGGGTTTGCAGGCGAGCACTTTAACCACTGTGCCACTAGGGCTCCTTACTTTTGCCCTACCAAAACCAAAAATAAGTAAGGAATAATAGCAATAGCCTGAATCCTTAGGCTAATCAAGGCAAGGCTTACTTCAAATGACAGCAAGAAGAAAGTCAGTAATAGCAACAAACACCTGTTAAGACACATTTTTCGAGTCATGAGGTTGAAAAAAAAGGTAACTACTCCATTTCAAAGTTCTAGAGAAAGAACACTGAAGATGATGACTGAAGAATTATTTTTAAAGGAAAATAAGAACAAAAATAAACAGGAGACTTCAGTGGGAAAAAGATCATAAAAGAAACCAGCCCAACAGGCTAGTTTTAAGTGCCTGTGTGAGGCAGCCAATTTAATGTCTCACAATACTAAACGAGAAATATATATGATTTTCACAGCAATGTAAAATGGTAATGCTTTTAAAAAACTTTTTACTGTTCAGGTGAAAGTTTATACAGGGAATTAGGTTCCCATTTAACAATTTTTATACAAATTGTTCTGCGTTATTGGTTACAATTTTTACAATGTGTCAGCATTCTCATTATTTCCATTCTGTCTGCTCTGTTTTCCATTGATCTAGCTTCCCTTCCCCTCCCTGCCTTCTCATCCTTGCTTCTGAGTAACTGCTGACTGTCTGGTCTCCAATGTTGCAATCCATCCATGCAGACAAATGTAACTGGAGTCTTAATTTTCACTGCTGTGTAGTATGCCACTGTATTGATATACCACGTTTATTTATCCAACCTGGACCTCTGGGTTATTCGGCCCCCCCCTTCTTTTTGCACTATTATTTATAGACATTCATTACTTAAAACATACTTTTTTGTTATTATTTATATATCCAAGGGCAGTACTACTCAAACTATGGTCTGCAAACCAGCTGGTCCACAAGCTAAGCATCCTGTGGGCCAGAATCACCGCTTAGATCAGCTGATCATTTTTTAGTAGCAGGACTTCACCAACGAAGCAAGCAGTGTGCTACTTCACATTCTGGCCCCTATTATGCTGACTGGCAGTTTCCATAGCACTGCTCTAGGCACTCGAATCTAGGGCACGTATCTGGGAGTGGAACTGCTAGGTTGTTGATGCCAAATTGTTTTCAAGTCTTCTGCTCATTTTTCTATTATTCTTGCTTTTTCTTACTGACCTATAGGAGCTCTTCAGAATCTGGATAGCACACGTCCCATTTTGTGGATTGGTTATTTATTTGGGGCTTGTTTTGTTATGGTGCCTGTGTTGAACATACTAGGACAGCCAACCCTACTTTTGGTAATGCTTTATAGCCAGATAAACACGCCAATCATTGTGAACCTAGATGATGAAATATGGTACTATACTTATTTAGCACTCTTTGCAAACTGGGCATCACAGAAGATCCTTGCACTAAAGAATACAGAACACAGCAAGAAAATAGATCAAAGTTAATCTGGGAGGCCATGTTTCTAATGTCACATATTCAAAAAGCTAATATTAATTTCAGTCTGCATGAGAACACGTCATAGTAAAAAGCTATATCCTAATATGCTGGGCAAATAACAGCTTTTTATTAGACCAATCTAAGGAAAAAGGACAAAGAGTGTCTAATTTGTATGGTTCTTATTAATAAATGTTTTAAGATAATTATGGCCAGTGCTACTCACATTCACAGTAATTATTCTAGAGCAGTGCTGCTGAATAGAACTTAGTGCAATGACAAAAATGTTCTTTATCTGCACAATAGCCACTAGCCTGTATAGCTTGTGAGGACTTGAACTGTGGTTTATGCAACCGAGGAATTTTTAAATTTTATTCAGCTGTAATTAAATTTGAATAGCCAACTGGGTAGTGTACAGAGCCGTTCTAGAGGATGGCAGGGATCAAGTACACACGACAGTGAAGAAAATCATAACCCCCAAATGACTCTGCTGAAGGTGTTCCTGTTATTAGGTGCACAATTTCAACTCATGGTGATCGACCCCATGTGACAGAGTAGAACTGCCCATAGGGTTTTCTTGGCTGTAACCTTTCCGGGAGCAGATTGTCAGGTCTTTCTCCCACAGAGCCACTGAATGGACTTGAACCACCAACCTTTCAAGTAGCAGCCAAGCACTTAACCATTGCACCACCAGGACTACTTATAACAAAGATCAATTCACAAGCTTACAAAGCTGGACAGTAAAGAATAAAGGTAATAAAACACTACAGCAAATGAGTTCTGAATAGAGACTTGAAATGTGTACTTACATAAGCCAATGAACAAAAGATGAAAAGACTAGAGCAGAGCAATCCACAAGGGTTTTTGCCTTGATTTCTGCTGCAAGTCAGTTAAGAGGCAAATTCCCTCAGACTCCTGGTGGCTGGGTGTGCCTGGGCAAGCGGAACCTGACCAGCCTAATTCTTCTGTAATAGTATGCTGTACAAATATTTTCTATCTGTGCTATAATGTAAAAAACACTGAATGAATGAGAAAAAAACAAAAAAACCCAGAACTGTTGTCGTTGAGTCGATTGCGACTCATAGCAACCCTACAGGGTAGAGTAGGACTGCCTCATAGGGTTTCTAAGGAGCAGCTAGCGGATTGGAACTGCCAATCTTTTGGTTAGCAGCTGAGCTCTTAACCAGTGCACCACCAGGGCCCCGGATTAGCGAAAGGGATGACTAAGTATCTGCTTCAGTTGGCTTGTAACAAATTGATTCTGATTAAACTGGCATGGAAGACTCTGGAATGAAGATGAAGGACAAAATTATCTGTGTTTACTGGACCTTAAAAGAGCCCTGGTAGCGCAATAGTTAAGTGCTTGGCTGATAACCAAAAGGTCATTGGTTCAAACCCACCCAGTGGCTCCTGGGAAAAAAGACCCGGTGATCTGCTCCTGTAAAGATGACAGCCTAAGGAACACTATGGGGCAGTTCTACTCTGTCCTATATGGTTGCTATGAGTCGGAATCTACTCAGTGGCACACAACTGGACCTTACCAGTATGTGAGAGCTTCACTTACAACAGCTCACCTGAACAATGGTCAGACTAGAATAGTAGCCTACCACTTGTGTAGGTTTTATAGTTTACAATCATTTCTCACAGATAAACAATACCTCATACCGAGTGTCCCAAAATGCTTTTTGGGTGGGGGAGAATCCACTGAAGCAAAATGGAAAAAAGGGGCTGTAACAAGGACACAGATCAGTAGTCACTGTTAATTCTCTAAGCCCAACTATCTACTATCTATCCTCTAGTAAATGTAAGAACCATTCGGTTTACACTGCTTTCCAACCTTTTCGGCCTTCCTTAAAAAAATTCCAAATTTGCCCGAAGAAAGAGTGCCACGTCCCCAAAATCTTAACTTTATCTATTAACATGCTATTTATTCACATTGTGCTTGTACAGAATCATTTTTACTACTTTACACAAGCAGCGAGGCACCATTAAATACTATTTTATGTATGCCAAGGGGATAAAAATACTTACAAAATTTCTTCTTCTCCATAAGCAGATTAAACAACTCATCTTTTCTACTGACAATTAACAGTGAAACATAAGAAGTAGCATTATCATATTCACAAAGAACATTTTTATTTTCCTTGTAAAATAATCCTAACTTAGGTAGGGCAGCTCCTACTGACTAGCATGAGTTAAGTACAAACAATCAGCAGATACAATATGAATACTTAAAACATTGTTCTTGTGAAGTTACATACATGAGCATAGTCAACTAATGACAACATCAGGTAAAAATTTAAAAAAAATTTCTTCAAGAATCCATTTAAACGGATCAATTAAATAAATTCCTTTTCCATATGTACATACAATGCAACATTAAAAGGTATACATTAACTCAATCTGACTTCATCAGCAGATCCCCTAACAGAAGTAACTGGTTAGAAGAGAATTTAGTTTTTCTGGATCGAAGTATTTATGTATTTTCCATTATGCTAATTTATTAATTATAATTGGAGCTACTGCTAAAATAACTTGAAAATCTAGCCCACTGGTAAAGCTTTAATCAAGCAAAAAAGCCCTAGGAGATCTAAAAACGGCATACAACAACTTTTCCACAATTAGAGACCTATCTCATTAATCTAAAATATTACTGGTACTGAAATATTTGTTAAGATGTTTCTGCAGGGCTCATGTACTATATTATACACGTTCTATAAAGTTTTCAAAGAAAAATTTATGTAAACTTCCAAAGTTTCCAGATACTTACAGAATTAACTATCTTCAAGTTCCAACAGTTATCTGAGTCAAAAACATAACCCTAAAGCCAAATTCTGCAACTCAGACCACTTGTACAGAAATTGTACTGAAGTATAACTAATTATGAAGTACTGTTTCTCTGTGGCATCAAGTCAATTTCAACTCATATTGACCTTATATGACAGAGAAGAACTGCCCTATAGGGTTTCCTAGGCTGTAATCTTCATGGGACCTGATTTCCGGGTCTTTTCTCCTACACAGCCACTGGCAGGTTTGAACCCTCAACCTTCTGGTTAGTAGCCAAGAGCTTAAGCACTGCACCACCACAGTTCAGAGTTCATACAGTTACTTTATTTTATGCAAATAATGCATGTGTTATTTTTTCTGCAAACCACACAACCTCCTGCGTGTTTATTTTCATAAGTGCACTCTATCAATATTTTTTTTAACATGTTGCTGACTTCACTTTCAATATTTTTTCTGTCCAACAGATTTAATGTTACCAAGATAAAACTGATCTCACAGAAACTTCATTTAAGGTAGCTATTTTCCTAAACGAAATGCAACCAATGGTGAACCAAACAGGCTCATGATGCCATTTTATTCATTACCATCTTCATCATCCAACTCCTAGAATCCTTCAAATTTGACCATCTTTTCCTCCCAGTCATCTGGAAGTTGCAGGCCTACAGTGGTACTCGTTCTCTCAGAAAGGTCAGTCCTTTTCATGAATTTAGAAATCCAGGTGAAACGTGCCTTGAAATCTGGGATTCCTTTCATTTGCTAAAAGCTTCGCTTTCATCTGAATCGTGACAGTAGAAGACAGCTTGATTTTGTTCCCTTTGAGAAATAATCCACTCTATCAAGGCGTTCTCCAACGCAGGCCATTCACTTTGGGCCCACGAGTGTGCAATTTCACAGATTCATTTTCTCCAGTTCCTTTTTTCTCCTTTCTCCATTCATGAACAGACAAGTCTACAATCTCAAACTCTCTCACTGCTGCCCTGCTGCTTGTTTATCCTGCCCTCAAAACGACTTTCAGTTTGAAATTGGTGGTGTAGGACTTGTGTTTAATTCCTGGCATGATCTAAACGGTTCTAAGATTTAGATTTATAAACTGATGTGAGGTGTACAAGAAGCAAGGGCCTTTTTATATGCTTGCAAGACATGACTAAGATGACTTATGATCACTGATCAAAGATACTGGAGCTAATAAGACACAATTAGACCATGAAATAAGCAGACCTACCAGCGCAATGGTTTCACTTAAGATGATCTGATAAGGTTTTCACATTTAACTGTTGAGCCAAGAGAACTGTGTATCAGTTTTGCTTTGTTTACTCCTCTAATTAAAAGCCAGATTCCTACTGATAGCTACTCGATGTCATTTATGCCAGTACAGGCTTCACTTTGTTTACACTTTTAATTGATAGCATGTGATTTATGGACAGGCTTCAGTAGGTTCAAGGTTCTGATTGATGACTCAAAATTGGTGGGGATATAGTGATCAACATACATTAACAGAAACAAACACACTGCCTCTATTTTTATTTTCCAATTACTGGGGTACTACCAAACTCAATCCATGACTTCCTGACCACGGTTTATACCATTATACAAATATGATCAAAAGTTAACATTTTTGTACTATTGAATGAGGCCAAAATTCACTTCTGGAAATGTCACCAGACATGCGCGGTACATTTTTTTTACATAATTTCTGCACGTTATTTACGTGGGCACGCTAATTTGCGAAAAAATATAATACACGCTTTGCCAAGCTATGTCCCAAGTAATTTCCATGAATGACAATGTGTAAGTCCTTTAATGACTTATAGTTTTGCAAATAGTATTGTTCCATAGAATATTAATTTCATTATTTGAATGTCCAGTAGAGCAAACTGGTATTGCATCTAAGAACAATACATTTCTGAAATTCGAAATTCTCTTGCCATTTTTGCTAATCCAAGTCAAAAAATCTTTTGGGTCAGATATTCTGAATTTAGGAGTTCTCAGATTTTAGAAGGGTAATATAAAACATATACTTTGTCATATAAACACTCTCTAGGAGGATATGAGTCAGCACTTTGTAACCACAGTATTTCTATAGCAAAATTTAGGAATATCAACACTAAATGGGATAAGTAAAGATATAAATAACCTTAAATCAGCTCAGATTCAGGTCAAGTTTTTCTTCCCAAACAAGTTTAGGTCACATCAGATATTGTAACCATGGAAGGTACTGTAACCACGGAAGCTATTAAATTTTTTTTTCCTTGAGAACACTTCTGATCTGAGTATTATATGCATAAAGGACCGTGGACCTGTAGCTTAATGTTGTTTTCCGTCGAGTTGATTTCGACTCAAAGCGACCCTACAGGACAGAGTAGAATTGCCCAATAGGGTTTCCTAGGCTGTAATCTTTACAGGAGATTGCAGGCCTTTTCTCCTGAAGAGCATCTGGTTGGTTCGAACCGCCAACCCTTTTGGTTAGCAGCCTAGCACTTAACTCTTGCACCACCAAGGCTGTAGCTTTAAAGCAAAGTATCAAGTACCAGTTTCATTTAACATAATATACGTTGTACCTGAGCATAATAAAAAGTGTCAGTCACTCTGGGTGCCACAACCTGCAGAATAATAAATAAATATCCTTAAGTATAGTTTATGCACTCCTATTTCCCCAAAAAGAAGAGGGGAAAAGTATGGACTTTCTGAGTTCATAATATTACTAATTACTCTAAATAAATACTACTTTAAAATGACGAAGTATTTTTCACTACTCCTTGATTTGGCAGAATGATTAATGTATGTCAGTTCACTGATAACAGTTTCTCAAATCTCTTAGAGGAAATACCATTAGAAATATCACTTATATATAATACGAAGTTTCCATCAAAGTAAGACATCTGAATTAAAAGAAAGCTTATCCTTTAATACAATCTCCTCAAAATATGAAACATGTTCTTAAATCTCCATCTTAGGATCTATTCATAACTATAATGGCAACTAGACTCCACTCCCAAAAGTTTTAACTCTCTAAGCTGACTTGATAGAACAGATGAACTGATCAACTTTCTATAAAAATTAAGATAACTGACTTGGTAGTGACATGGTGGCAATAGTGCTTCTCTTTAATACACACACAAGTCACCTAAGTCAGGTTTAGGTGGGGCTGAGATTCTGTATTTCTGTCCCAGGTGATGATAATGCTGTTGACCCATGGACCACACTACATAACATGCATGATAACACATTTAAAAAAAGAGAGAGAGAGAGAGAATCATTGTACCAGTTTAGGGCAAAAGAAACTGTGATTCAAAAAAAAATAAGCAATTTGTTTAAGTCATACAGAAGCAAGCCAATATAGGAAGCCTCCAGTTCAAGGTTTTAAATCAGCAGAACTTTCAAGAAATCCAAGTATTTAAACTGCTTCCTCCCTCAGACTAAAGAAACATTAAGTCAATACTTTGTTTTCTTGTGAAATTTCTCATGTTATTCCCTCCCAAGTCTCTGGCCAACTTAAACACCCAAACCTCAACAACAAAAAACAAATTTCAGTATCAGCACCGAAGTTCATAAACGGTATCTCAATTTTAAAAACAAACCACACATATCTAGCAGCTCAAATTCAAACAGTTTACTGTGGAATTATAGTTTGCACAGGGGTTCAATTCTAAATTCAAACCCACAAGTAAAAACTCAAGTATAGTCAAAGACTATCCTTGAAAATCCATTAGGAAGGTGGCATACTGGGAGATATACATATACCATCTCTCAGTAAATCTTCTAAAAACAATCATTTTTTCCTACCAGTTGAGCATTATAAAGTCAATTTATGAGAAAGAATATAAACTCTAGAAAAATCACACTCAGTCTGGCAAGAGGCTCGTAACTAGAAAATAAAGAACTAAGTTTCATCCCTCACATCCCACGCTCATTTTGAGTTATACGTTTGATGAATGAAATGGAACCAGAAAATTTACTCTATTTAAGAATGTTTTTATTTTTTTCTGCTGAAGCCCAAACACTTGAATCCACTTAAATGGTTGAATGATGTGATAAACTATTATCCAGATCTTAAATTCAAAGAAAAACTCTCTCTCCAACTTATATTAAAACTTGGACTAAGAAGGCTTCCTAAAACTTATCCTGCTACATGAACTTAAATAATGTAATTGTCATATATTCAAAATAAAGTACATTTTAAGTGATCTAGCCATTGGTAAGCAATGCATACAACTGAAGCAGTACCTCTAACTGCCAAACCTCTCAGCGATTTTAAAACCTGACCAAAAAAAGCTGTAAAGGCTGCGGCACTTTAAGAAATAAATACAATTTCAAGTTGGGAAAGACTAAGCAACATGGCATCCTCCTTTACTTCAATTTTACAAGACCCCCCACAGATGTGAAAACTTACATGGACAAGTTAGGAGATGGAACCCCCCTATCATCAGCTAGGTTCCCAAGGTGGCTCCGCGTTGAAATCGAACTGCTCTCTATACAGCACTTCTCCTAGGCCCTCTGGGTAGTTGTATACTTGGTCAGAAAGTTCGCCCTAAAGAAGAAAATAAAAGAATTAATGCTAATGAGACAGACTGACAGTGGCTGCAACAATGGGCTCAAGCACAACAACTGTGAGGATGGCTCAGGACTGGGCAGTGTTTTGTTCTGTTGTACACAGAGTCACAGAATCGACTCAGTGGGCATCTAACAACAATGCTAAAAAACATTAAGTTGTGCTTCAAGCAGATTAAACTGATTTAAAATTTAACTGTAGAAATAAGGCGAAGTTTTATCTTTAATAGAAATAGTTCTAATATTTAGTTCAATATTTAATTAGGGACACATTACACAGAAACAATGTTTTCAAAGGGTTTACCAGTGTACCAAGTACTTTCTACATAGTAAACATTTCCAAGTTGCTTTACTACAAAATTCACAAAGGTGACATCATAGTCACCTTTCCAAATTGCTTTATGTACCTACTCATGAGTTTCCTGTCTTCATCTAACTCCGTTTTTTGCTTTTAATGGTCCCCTAAAACCCAAATTAGTAACTGGCCTAAAATACAAAAATTTCAAAGCATCTTCACCAATCTGGTAAGCAAATGTTCTAGCATGATCTAGTAGTCTGAACCCAGAACACCCTTTTACCCCTCCAATTCATTAAAAGTTCCTTGCTTAGAGTATAAAGTCCTACCGATACCAGGATGATGGGTAAGACTTTATGATTTAGCTAATACATTACATGTCTAAAATTATGAGTATTTCTCTGAACAGCTCACACTGCCATTACCAATCATCTTTAAACTTGCACACTTGGTGTGATGAGGCTATATCTGTAGTATTCTTTCCAAAAAATCCAAACCCCCAATCTTATCATGAGAAAAACATCAAACCCAAATCGGGGGACATGCTACAGGACATCTGGCCACTACTTCTCAAGACTGTCAAGGACATAAACAAGGGAAGACTAAAAAACTGTCACACAGCAGAGACATGACAATTAAATGGATTGAATCCTGGAACAAAGAGGATATTAACCACCACCACCACCCCCAAAAAAACCTGGTGAAAAATCCAAAGTAAGTCTGGAGTATGTAATGTACCAAAGTCAGTTTCTGAGTTTTGACAAATGTGCTGCAATAATATGTTAATAACAGGGGACACTAGGTGCAGGGTATTAGGAACTCTGTACTATCTTTGCAACTTTCCTGCAAATCTAGAATTACTCCAAAAAAGTTTATTAAAAAAAATCAAAGTATTAATATAATGGAATACTACTCAGCAATAAAAAGGAACAACCTAATAACTGCAATATGAACATAGAAAACATGTTAAGTGAAAGAAGCCTTACACAAATGCATACTGTATGATTTTATGAAACTTCTAGAATAGGCAAAACTAAGAGTTAAAAAAAAATTTCAAAAGCGGTTGACTTTGTGGGAGTGGGAGATGACGACTTACTGAAGGGGCAAGAAACAACTTTTTGGAGTGATGGTAATGTTCTACATCTTGATAGATTTGGATTTTACAGCTCTATTTTTATTTGTCAAAACTCATCTCTCTGCATTTTTCTGTTACGTGATTTTTATCTAAAATTTCTTTAAAGGAATAGTAAATAAGTATTGAACTCTAAAGATATGGGCATGCTGCAGTTTAAGGGCTGAAGGTTCTTATGCCTCCAACTTACTTTGAAATGTATCAAAAATAAGACGAATTGATGACTAGATAGCAGGATGAACACAAAGTAAATATAGCAAAATGTTAATGTAAAATCTAGGTGGGGTACAATTTTTTGAACACGTTGGAAGATTTGTATAATGAACGTTGGGAGAAAAAGGCACTGACTACTTGATTATTGCGTTTATCGTTATCACTTTCGGTCGTTTATTCAGGAGTCTTATCTTTCCTACTAAATGTAAATTCAAAGCTTGTCTTTATGATCAACACCTGCACTCACATTTGTAAAAGAAACTAAAGGATTATTACGGTCTTGCCAGACAATCAGCCATATTTCTGCCAAGCTGGTCCACATCAAACCCTTCCTGACCACACGCAATTCTCTCTACACTAAGTGGTCTCAGATTCCCACCAAAAAGTTGGGGAACTCTACGGTACAAACACTACGGGACACAGAATATTTTAATGATCCAAGATGCTACCACAAAATTCAGTAAATCTGCTGAAACATCACCGTTTGAAAGTGTCCCCAAGTTTGTACATCAGCATACACGTTCAGGATACATACTGTGTATAGGTCATCACCATTAACTGTTGGTAGTCTAGACAGTACTTGATAACCCACTCAAGTCTACCGTTCTTTTTTGCCCAGGAATTGCGGCGCGGACGGGAAAACCAAGCCATGGTGACTAATCCTCAGGCTCCAGGAGGTGGCTGGGGTGACTGAAGGCGACTCGGCCCAATCAGGAGCGCCGTAGGGGGCGGAGCAGCAGCCCCAAGCCTTCCAGAAGGGGCCAAAGGCCTCTCGCTCGCTACCTGACACCAGGGCTTCCCCGCCGCCGGGCCCCGAGCGGCGTCAGCTTTCCTCCACCAGAGGGGGACCTCACTCCCCGCACCCCCCAAGAATTTGACCTCCTCCGGCAGCTGTCACCAGACGCCGGCGCGGGGCCCGCCCCGCTCCATTCATAACTGAAGGCCTCGGCCGTTGCCGCGCATCGCGCCGCCCCCCGCTGGGCTCCGGGAGGCCAAGGCGGCGCTCCCGCTCAGGGCCAGGGCTGTGGGACCCCAGCCCCGCAGGGCTGAGGGCCAGGCCCCCTCCCCGGAAACAGCAGTGCACCACGGGAGAGGGGTGGGGACCGTACGCCGCCTGGAGGCGACTGCGACCCCCGGCTGCAAGACCCCTGCGCGCGCCCCCCAAACGCACACACCCCCTCGCCCCAACCGCGGCGGCTCAGGATCCACCGAGCGTCCGGGGGCCTCCTGAGGACCCCAAGGCGAGGCCCGCCGCCCCAGCTCTGCTGTGTCGCCGCCACCGCCACCGCCACCGCCAGAGGCAGACACCCGCCACACACACCGCCGTCCGCCATGTTAGAGGCGGTCGGCCGCGGGGCGCTGCGGGGGGACGCCCGTCGGGCAGCGGGGCCCAGCTGGGAAGGACCCGGCCGCCCTTGCACTCCGACCCCGCGCCCCTCGAGTCGGTACTCACGTGAGATAACGGCCCAAAGAGTCGGGTAAAGCGTCTTCTCTTTTTCGGCGGAATTTTTAAAGAGGGATGTGGTTACCTTGAGCAGAAATACCCAAGGCGGCCTGGGCCATAGGCTGCGGGAACGACGTGGGGGGAAAAGCGCGGCACCGACACCAGCTGTGCAACAGTGGCGGCGGCGGCCGAAGGAGAGAAATAGAACAGCGCGGGTAAAAGGAAAGCGAGGACTGGGTGGGGAGAGGTTTCGGCCTCGTCACACCGCAGAGCAGCGCAGCGAGAAAAGATGAGAAGAAACAGAAGGCAACCACACGGAGAGAAAAAACAAGACCGCAGAAGAGCGAAGAGCCAGCGAGTGTGGGAAAGCTGCGCTGGAGACGCCAGTATTTATAGCAAGGGGCGGGGCAATGTGACGTCACAGCCGGCCGTACAGCCGCGCGAGCGGGGAGGAGTCGGGCTGAGGCTCACGGAGAAGGGAGGGGGCGGAAGAGGAAGAGGGACGGCGCGGAGAGAGCGAGAAGAGAAGTGGCGGCGTGACCTGGTCATGCTGGTGTGGACCGTCTAGCCACTGCCCTCCCTCCCACCCCCAGCAGCTCCCGGGCAGGCGGAGGGCCCGCCGCGCGGACGTGGGCGGGCGGGGGCTCCGCGTCGGTACAGCGCTCCTATCCCTCGGGCGCCTGCGCTCAGCGCGCGGCGGTCCTGGCGCATTGTGAGCCGGGACCGTCTCCAGCCGGCCGCGGCGCCGGGGAACCACCCTGCTTTGCCCGGCCCGGGGCAGCGGGGCTTCCGGGCTGCCTGGAGTGGATGTAGGGGAGGTCTGTGGGTGCCATCGCCAGAGATTTCCCCCTCGAGAGCATTCCACTTTGTCCGGGCTTTCGGCGAAGGTTGGGGACTGCCCTGGGAGGGTGAGGCTCCTGCCCCCGCAGGGTGCAGTTAATCCGTTGCAGAAGTGGAGTTTGTAATGGCCAAGAAGGGATCGGCCGGTGTTCGAGTGGTTACTGAACCTCGTGACCGCGTGAACATGCCCCCAGTGCCCGTACGTTGCAATATGGTGCAGAAGGAATGTTTTGAAAAGTGTGGCTTTTATGTCTTTATTTGAAGATGGTTGATACAGTCAGACCCAGTAAGTTATTATTAATGGAGGATCAATGTTGGGAGATTATTGATGTTACAAGCGCACATTGCTTGTCATCCCCTCCCTCCCCCACATCTGGAATTCACGGTCATTTTAATTTTGCTACTCCATTACAGACTTTTTTACTAACTAGTCTAAGATAACCTGCATAGCTTTTAATTTATTATTTTTTACAGATGTCACCAGTGAAGGATCCCTGGTGATGCAGTGGTTAAGCGCTAAGGTACTAACCAAAAAGTCAGGGTTGGAACCCACCAGCCGGCTCTGAGGGAGAAAGTGGGCTTCCGTAAAGATTTACAGCCTTGGGAACCCTATGGGGCAGTTCTACTCCGTCCTGTAGGGTGGCTATGAGTTGGAATACACTTGAGGGCAGTGGGTTTGGTTGTTACTAGTGACCAGAGACCCTGAGTCCTCCTGTGCTAACGCCATGCAACTCAGCCTCACTAAACAGCACAAATGGAATATGCAGTGACTGCCTCTACATGTTAACATTTTTTGAGAGTAAGACCCTGACTTTTTTCTTTGATTCTTCTCCACCTTTTACTTCGTGAGCAGCACTGTGGTTGATTAATAAATCATCAAAGGGAAAAGAAGCAGGAGAGCCTCACCAGAGTAGAAAGGCATGATATTTCTCCATGCTGCAATGTAGGCTTGGATTGAGAGTATTCTCTTGGATGAGAGAGTATTAGTTAGAAATCAGGAGCTGTGGACTCTATTCCTGATTTTGCTTTTTCCATATTTTGCTCAGCTACATCTTGGTTTTCTCTTTAATTCCTTAAAAATTCTGTTCCATTCAGAACATTTATAACCACCGCATTTTACTAGACCTCTGATGGAGGGAGGGAGGCTGTCGTACTCATCTAGTGCTGCTGTAACAGAAATACCACAAGTGGATAGCTTTAACACAGAGAAGTTTATTTCCTCACAGTCTAGTAGGGTAGAAGTCCAGTTGGCTCTGGAGAAAGGTCCTTGTCATCAATCTTCTGCTGGACTAGGAGCTTCTGCACAGGAACACCAGGTCCAAAGGATGCACTCTGCTCCTGGCACTGCTTTCTTGGTGGTATGAGGTTCCCCCCTCCCCCCAATTCCCTTTCATCTCTTGTAAAATAAAAGGTGGTGCAGGCCACACCCCAGGGAAGCTCCCTTTACAATGGATGTGACCTTAGTAAGGGTGTTACAATTCCACTCTAATCCTCTTTAACGTAAAATTACCATCACAAAATGGAGCACAACTACACAATACTGGGAATCATGGCCTAACCAAGTTGACACATATTTTTGGGGGACACAGTTCAATCCATGACAGAGGCTAAAGATGAATACACTTGAAATCTTACAATCTAGCAGGAGAAATAAGACAACTACACAAAATAGCTAAGTTGTTGACAGATAAGCAGATAAAATGCTGCAGGAAACTGCTGGAAGGAGGAAATGATTGCAGCTAAGAGAAAAGCTGCTGGGAAAGGGTTGTTAGAGTTGGCCAACTCATGGGGACCTGAGCACAATAGAAGGAAACACCTGGTATGATTGGTTAGGGAGGTCTGATCAATTGGGGATCTGACCGTTGTGAACCATAGGGTTTTCATTGGCTGATTTTTGGCAGTAGATTGCCAGGCCTTTCTTCCTAGTCTATCTTAGTCTGGAAGCTCTGCTAAAACCTTTTCAGCATCATAGCAACACACAGCAAAACTCCACTGACAGACGAGTGGTGGCTATGCATAAGGTGCATTGGTCTTCCACGTGGAGAATTCTACTACTGAACCACACTACCCATGGGGAAAAGGTAGAGAGTAATTTTAAGAGAAGATATTGCAGGCAAGAGAAACAGGTGAGAGAAGGCACAGAAACAGAAGGAAATGGGCCTGTTCAGAGAACTTAGTGTGCTTTCTGGCTCCAACATAGGAGGCATGGTTGCAAATAAGATTGAAAAGCCTGGTTAAAGTGAGATCAAAAAGGGATTTGAACTTGGACTTTATTCTGGAGCTATTTAAGCAAGGACATGATATAACCAAAGATATATTTTTAAGAGATTACTCTGGCATCAATAGATGAGATTGAAAAGAGGTACAAAGTTTGGTGGTGCAACAGTTAAGTGCTCAGCTACTAACCAAAAGGTCGGTGGTTTGAACCCATCCAGTGGCTCCGTGGAAGAAAGACCTTGTAATCTGCCTTTGTAAAGATTAAGGCCAAGAAAACCCTATGGGGCAGTTCTACTTATGTCACAGGGAGTCACTATGAGTTGAAATTGACTCAGTGGCATCTAACAACAACAACAACAGAAAGTTTGGAAGAGAGAGGGAGTGTCTTAGTTACCTAGTGCTTCTGTAACAAAAAGTACCAGTGGATTGCTTTAAAGAACCGAAAGCTGTTTTCTCACAGTTCTGGAGGCTAAAAGACCCAGTTTGGAAGGAAAAAGATGAGTCAGCTTTGAACATAGAGTTTGTGCTATTTGTGAAATAATCCAAGTAAAGATGGTCCAAAACCAAAACCAAACCCACTGCCATCGAGTCGATTCCGACTCACAGTGATCCTACAGGACAGAGTAGGACTGCCCCATAGGGTTTCCAAGGCTGTAATCTTTACAGAAGCAGACTGCCACATCTTTCTACTGCAGGGTGGCTTATGGGTTCGAACCACCAACCTTTCAGATAGCAGCTGAATGCTTTAACCACTGCACCACCAGCGCTCCTAAAGATGGTCCAAAGGCTCCTGGAAATGTGTGTCTGGAGGTCTGAAGACATTTTTGGGTGTCAATTTGGGAGATTTTCCTATATATAGGAACTGTTGAGGTCTGCAGGAAAAGGGATATGAACACAAAAAAAAACCCCAAAAACCCATTGCCACTGAGTCGATTCCAACTCAAAGTGACCCTAGAGGACAGAGTAGAACTGCCTCATAATATTTCCAAGGAGAAATGAGCCAGAGAGCAGACCTAGAGATGCCAGCAGAGAAGACAGACGACCAGTCAGAGAAGTAGAAGGAGAATCATAATAGGGTAGTGTCAAGCAGTTGAAGGAAGAATGTGTTCCAAGATGGACTAAGTGGTCATTTTGTCATATCCCTCAAACAGGCTGAAAAGGGGTTTCAGTTTTCACAAATGGCAAATCATTGGCAAACTCCAATCTCATGTTAAGAGTTTTGGATTTTTATCCCAAAAGCATTGGCAAAGTCATTAAAAGGTTTTCATTGTGGTGTGATTTGCATTTTAGAAAAGGGGAGAAAGGACTAATATGTGTGTGGCAGGGAGAACAGTGATCCACAGAGAATGACAAGGACCTGAAAAGAAGTTATCCCTGACCTATAAGTGGACAGTTTCAGGAGGGTGGAAGGAACAGACAGATTGCTGAGGTGTGAGTGAGGAGCAGCTGCAGTAGGTGTTGACCACTTTTTGAAGAGGGTGATGCTGGACTAGTGCCTAATTCAACATTATTTATATCATGAAACAGTTCAGCAACTTTTCCTATTAAAATTGTTGGCCCATGTGATTAATATTTGTCTATTTGAATTTCAAGAACAGTGGTAGCTTTTAATGAATACAACAGAAACTTGAAAACAACTGCATTGGAATAGACAACGTTGTTTGTTGTTAGGTGGCATCAAGTCAATTTCTACTCGTAGTAACACTATAGGACACAGTAGAACTGCCCCCATAGGGTTTCCAAGGAGTGGCTGGTGGAATGTGAACTGCTGACCTTTTTGGTTATCAGCCAAGCTCTTAACCACTATACCACCAGGGCTCCATACAATATAGTGTGTAACTTTAACAGAATGATAGCTAACTAATGAGAACTGCATATTTAATTGGGTGTGGGTTTTTTTTTTTTGTTTTTTGTTTTTTTTGCCAAGTCGGGTTACTCATACACAAATACACAGGTAGTGCCAGAGAAAGTATTATCATTAAATAGCCCTGAGATAAAATGACATAATACCGTTCACACTTAGATCATCCTGGTCAGTTAAGTCAAATCCATTTTCTTTTGTGCCAATAGATACAAAAGAGTGAACGAATTAGATTGTTAATAAAGGCAAATCACTCAAAAACAATCGGGAGACCTAAATTCACCATCCTATAATGGCGCAGTGGTTAAGAGCTAGGCTGCTAACCAAGAGGTCGGCAGTAGAAATCCACCGGCCTCTCCTTGGAAACACATTGAGGCAGTTCTACTCTGTCCTATAGGGTCGCTATGAGTCGGAATTGACTCCATGGCAACATTTTTTTTTTTT